TGCCAACTAAGGGTAAACCATACACTCGCCAGATGAAAACAACTCACTATTAAAACATACCAAAATCAAAAAATAAAAGAGCTCTGGAAACAGTGAAGCTGTGCACAAATTAAAATTAGTGAGACAAACCAAACTCACTGTTGACACTGCTTACAGCTCTTTTGGAATCTACAGCAAATTCATATATAAAAAGAGAGAACTGAAACAAGGGGATGGATAGTCAGGAACTCAGAGTCCTCTCTGCCCTGTGTAAAGAAGTGATTATGTAGTGAGAGAACATGAATGCAATGTAGATGAATCAAACAGTGAAAACTCAAAATATAGTAAAGTATAGAACACCCCGCAAGAGAAGACAATTCTCACTGAGAAGAATGTATTCAATTCATAGACCGTATGGCTTTGGGTCTCCCCCTCACCCAGTTATCCATCTTTCTGAAGTACACATATCTATGATTTGTGATGAGATTCATGTGATGGTAGATTAAAATGCCTCCATATAAAAATTATTGAAGTTCAGAGGGTCCTGTGGCATTCTGAGGTATTATTCCCATGACTTCTGGAGAACTCTCTCAGAACATTTGCTGAGTCTCTTACATGTTCTATAAGCTAGGACACCATTTATGGGAGGTTAGGGGGCAATAGCCCCTCATGAAACTGGAACCCCTGGATTTCATACTTGAGGTCTGCTTAAAGCTGCATGCCCTGGCTTCAGAGGCAGTTCTTGAATGCAAGAGAGCTAGGGCTGCTTGCAGCTTTGCCTTTGGCGCAGGGAGTTTGTTATAAAAAGAGGGAGGCAGGGTGATCAAGAATAACAAAAGGCTGGGCATTCAAGTAACTGAAGGATTATTAGAGCATCATGAAAACATTGTGGGGTACTCCACTTAAAAGATAGAGGAAAAAAGAGTAGGAATGAGTGTTGTGCTACTGGGATTTGCATTTGGATCACTGTGTTAAACTTATAAATGTTCTTGAAAAAGGGGTAAACAGTGACTAATCCCAAAATAACTGCAAAGAGTTACAAAGGGATTTTACAAAACTGGGTGACTGGGCAACGCAAAAGAAGATGAAATTCAGTGGTGATAAGTGCAAAGTAATGCACGTGGAAAAATAGACTCCTAACTATAGATATAAAAATGTTGGGGGCTCTAAAATAGCTGTTACCACTCAAGAAAGAGATCTTGGAATCATTGTGGATAGTTCCCTGAAAACATCTGATCAATGTGCAGTGGCAGTCTAAAAAACTAACAGAATATTGTGAATCATTAGGAAAGGAATAGCTAATAAGACAAAATACCATAATGTCTCTATAGAAAGTCACTGTACACCCACATCTCGAATACTGTAGGCAGATCTGGTCACGCTGTCTAAAAAAACACATATTGTATTTGGAAAAAAGTACAGAAAGGGCAACAGAAATGATTAGGGTTAAGGAACAGCTTCTATATGAGGAGAGATTAACAAGACTGGGACTTTTCAGCTTGGAAAAGAAATGACTAACGGGTGGAGGGATATGTCCTATGTCTACAAAATCATGAATGGTGTGGAAAAAAAGAATAAGGAAATATTATTTATATAAGCAGCACTTCAAAGCTTGCAATGATTAGATAATATCATTTGCCTGGTTGATTTCAAAATCGTCCATTCTGGACCCTTTAAGTCTGCCAGATCATAGTCTACAACCTAGAAAGTGCGAGTCTTATGGGTAATGCCAACCCCAGGTTCTCCATATAGCAAAGCAATATGCTATTGATTTGATTATCAGAAATAATCACAATTTAGAATAATAAAATCCTAGAACTTGAAGGGAACTTGAGGGTCTCAAGTGCAGTCCCGTCTTCATGGCAAGACCAAGCACCATCTAGATCATACCCGTTAGAAGACTATCCAACCTGCTGTTAAATATCTCCGGTGATGGAAATTCCACAACCTTCCTAGGCAATTTATTCCAGTGCTTTACCACCCAAAAAGTTAGGAAGTTTTTCCTAATGTCCAGCCTAAACCTCTCTTGCTGCAATTTAAGCCCATTGCTTCTTGTTCTACCATCAGAGGCCAAGGAGAACATTTTTTCCTCTCTTCTCCTTATAACTCCCTTTTAGCCACTTGACCATGTCATTGCTCTTTTGGAATTTGTAACCTTCCCACTCAAAAGTTAGTTTGAGTTGTTACAAATCTGCTAGTAATTCTGGACAGACATGAAAAAGACACTCTGCTATTTAAAGTTCAAAAATATGGTTTCTTTGAAGCATCACAACGTGTAAAATCATCGCCACATAGCTCTGGCAGAAATTTGACACTCCAGTCCATCACCTGCTTTTTGCATTTGAATTCCAGATGAAGATTAACAGTGGTTCATTATCAACAGGAGACTAACATATAATGCAGTGCTAATCCCTAGCAATAAAGATTTTTAGGTAATTTAAGATATAGAAAAGACCACTTTATGGATATTGCTGGCAAAGCAAAATGGAAAGCAGTAACATTTTGAAACAGAGAAAACATACACAGGTGTTATGATGGATAGGAATGCTGGCCAGTACCCAGTGACTAAAGGGGCAAGCTCAGGTAGCTAGTAGGGGGGTTGGCAAAGAGCCAGAAGAACCAATGGGATACAGTGCTGAAATCTGAATGATATAAGATACCTTTGTCTGTTTTCTTTGTGGGGGAGTTAAGCCAGGAGTTGGAAAACAGCATGATTTAAACCCAGGCAGGACTACGATGTCTCCAAGGAATTCAGGGCATGGAAGTGGACTGAACCAGGAAGGGATCGTGAGTAAGTAAAGGGAAAATGTATATTTAGTTGTGATCAGGGCATTTTTCTTTGTGTTGCTTAGTTGGTTCAACTCGTGTGAATTTATGCCTTCTCTCCACCATTCACTATCTAAGAGCATAGCCAGAGATGTTCTCTGTGTTTTAATTTGTTTTACTCAGTTGCTCTGTAACACCTAGCAACCAAGTATGTTTTATCAAGTATATCTTTTTATTTTGTTAATAAAATCACCTTTTTAAGGAAATGATTTGATTCTTGTATCCTGGCAAGAAACAGGAGGTCTCTGTGTGTGTGTCCGCCTAGCCTGAGAGGTCAGCTATCAGAGACACAGTTTGTTTTCTTTTGTTTCTTTTTTTCCAAGCTCTCTTGTGGCAAAGGAGCTTGGGGTACGCTTGGGGAAGGAAGTCCGAGTGCTTTCTTCCTATGTTCAAGAAGAAAGGGGTTTTCTTTTCTTCCACTTGGTGGTGTCAGTTACCTCCCAAAGACAGTGAATCTATGACTCTGGGGAGTTTTAGAAAGCAGAGCCTATAGAGGCAAGTATTTAAGGCCTCTTGTGGGCCTCTACCTTCTGCACTCAGAATGCCGGAGTGGAGAACAGCCCTGAAAGGTGTACTAGAAGAAAATCCAAAAACGATATTCTTTTGAAACAAATGAGGTGGCCAAAATGTTAAACATATCAATATCCCACTGTCAGAGATCACAACATATACAAACACACACACACTGAATCAGCAGTGGGCAACTTGCAGCCCGCATGCAGCCCATTGGAGTAAGCTGACTGTGGACCACGGGACACCTTGCCAACGCTGGCTGTCCACGGGCACCACCCCCCACAGCTCCCAGTGGCTGCAATTTAATTTACCTTTAGATCCGCAGTAGCTAACTTCCAGTTGGTAGGAAAGCAGCACTTTTTGCTTCACCTAGGAAATCCATTTTTAGGCTACATTTCCACTTCTCGGGGTAGCAGAGACAAGAAAGTCTCGCTAAGGTGACTGGTCCCCAAAACAGGGGAAAGAGGAGCAAATAAATTGCCCTTATACATCCCTACCCCTCAGTCAAATTCCAAAGAGGCATTAGCTATGTCCCTGGATAACACTGCAAACAGAGGGCCACAAAGCGGCAGCCTGGCAGGAAGAGGGCACTGTGAGGAGGGAGAGGTCAGAATGACCACCTTTTGCAACCTATAAAACTAGGTGCCCTTTTAGGCTCTAGCCTCAACTGTCAGCTTAGAAGAGGGGCATTAAAATAGTCAAAGAGAGAAGGCAAGAAATAACATATGAAACTGTGTGTGCATTAAGGATGGAAATCTTGAAGGCAGAGTGTATCATTTCTATCCCTTTCCAGCATCTTTGGTAAGCCATTAAAATAACTGTTAACATTACCATAGTATTTAGGGGCTCCATTTGATTTGAGACCCCATTGTGTCAGGAGCCATATGAATACCTAGCACGAGATAATCCATTTTTCAATACACAAACAAAACAGAGTATGAGAGAAAAAAAGTATTGCTCTCCACATTTTACAAATGGGGAATCGAAACAGAGAAATTAAGTGACTTGCTTGAGGTCATAAAGTAATTTACTAGCAGAGCAGGGGACAGAGCCCAGGTGTGCCAATTACTTTAAATAACCAGACCAGGCCTTTTTCTCTCCATAATCTTTCTGATGTGATGTTAATCTCTAGATAAACAGTACTCACACTTTAGCAATCTGAGGACTCCATTTAGATTTAAAACTTATTGGGGACCCCCTAAAACTCCCTGCTCAGCCCTTGCCCTGCCCCCTTTCTTAAGGCCCCAACTCGGCCCTGCCCCTTCTCCAATGCATTGCCCCCACAGCTCATGGAATTAGCACTCAGGGCAACGGCAGTGCATGGAAATCCCCCACCCCACAAAGATGTGCTGGCCGCTTCTAGGAGTGGTGCACAGACAAGGCAGTAGTAAACCTGCTATAACTCCGCTACACCATCACATTTTTTGCATGCAAGAGGCACAGGGAGGAAAAGAGGAAGGGGGGAAAAAGTTGATCAGGGGGTCTGTTTGACCCACTGGGTTATCTTCGGGGATACCGTTTAAGAATTCCCAGTCCTGTGCCAGACATACTTCCCTCTGGATATACAAATAGCACTAATATTTTGTCACTAGCACTAATAAAAGTTAAACTGAAACTTTTAAACTGAAAGGAGGACTAGTTAAGAAGCACAAGAGGTTACAATGCATTGTGACTCCACTTACTGTTCTCAGACAGCTCTACTATGTAGTAGAGAACAGGGCTGTTTCCATCAAAGGGACGCACCCAGGAAAGAATCACGCTGCGGCTGTACGAGGAATTCAGGGTGGCCAGAAGATTCTGAGGGGAATGAGGCAGCTCACTATTAAAAAATAAATAAATGAATAAATAAATAAAAATGAAGGGATAAATCCCACAGAAAAATCAGTCTACACTTTATTTGGCCTGATGCTTGTAGAAGGTTATACATTCATGTAAAAGCAGACTTTTACAATAGTATGGACCAGCAGCCGATGGATGGATTGGTGGATAGATGGATATTCAGTTTTGTCTTGTTTCTAAAATGCAATTTATGCTGTGATTCCTATGGTTAACAATGCAATAGGTAATGAAACTGTGACTTAAAATGGAAAAAAATCCAATTTCAAACTTAAAAAAAAACCTGAGACAATTTCATTAATACATTTTATTTTTTTCTTTAACCCTCCCTTCCCCAATGATATCCTCGTAACGGCACAGAAGTTAAAACATATAAAAAATAAAACACGCGGGAGACATTATTTAACATGGAATTTTTCATACTCAAGCAAGCAGAAGACATTGACACCATCCAGAGTTTGTAATCAGAATTACCATTTGTATTTTTAGACTACAAAAGAGCTTGATTACTGGTGGATGAAGCCTTTTAACTGTCATTGGTAGAATCTTTCCCTCATATAACAGGGATTTTTGGAAGCATCCAAGCAGAAAATTCCATGGAAATGCTAAATGAAATATTTAAAAATAAATAAATAAAACAACTTCAATTTAAATGGATAATTCCTAAAAATAAAATACTTTATTTGGATTCATTGCCTGAAAGTGATGGCTGAGATGTGGACACCAGATTCTGCTGCATTCCTTCAGTGTTGGTCTACAACACATACAAAACAGGAATAGCCAATTTATGTCATAAATCTGGGTTCTAGTCCTTGCCACCTGAGTTCCTGGGGGCCAACATCTCCCAATCATGGAAGGCAGAAGAACAGGAAGTGATGGTTTTTTACCTCTCCTCCCCTGACTATATATTCTTCCTCAATATCTAGTATTGCTGATCCATACTGGTCAGCGCAAAAAGCCATAATTATACTTGATGTTCTTGAATTAGTAAATGTAGTCATTTCTTTTTTCAATTCATTAAGTTCTCAGATATTTACAACTCTCTAAAAAGCACAACAAACTCCTTTGCCTGCACATACAAATATACAAATGATTTCAATGAAGACTGTCTTTAAATCAGAAAAGTACAAACCAGGCTTTGAATTTCAGATTTCTTGTGGGAGGAAAAAGGAGCGTTATTTATTTTTTAATCAAACATTAAACCACATTACAGGTCCTGTGCTGTATTTCATCCTAACCCCAGATCAACCTGTGCACTCTGGCTTAGAAAAACATATGCAATTAAGCTGGCAAAGGAACCTTCTGAAGGGAGGAGAGGGAAATGGCTGGTTGCATAGCAGCTCACTGATGTTACAGCCCATCATCTATCCCAAGGCCCTGTGGGAATGAGGCTAAGATGTGCTGCAGCCCTAGCCTCTTCCAGAAGAAAACACTTGCATATGCAGTAGCATAGGAGCAGTGGCTATTTGGACAGAGGAGAGGCTTTGCAGCCTCAAATAAGTGTGTTAAGTACTTCATAAGTACTGAATGTATTAAGGATGTTGCCAGTGTTTATAGTGATTGTTTAGTCTGTTTACTTGCAAATGTTGAGGTAAGATGTGCTGCAGCCCTAGCCTCTTCCAGAAGAAAACACTTGCATATGCAGTAGCATAGGAGCAGTGGCTATTTGGACAGAGGAGAGGCTTTGCAGCCTCAAATAAGTGTGTTAAGTACTTCATAAGTACTGAATGTATTAAGGATGTTGCCAGTGTTTATAGTGATTGTTTAGTCTGTTTACTTGCAAATGTTGAGGGTTGCACTTAAGGTACATTTGGGAATATCAAAAGTTATACTGTTGG